ATGAAAGATGTTGATTGGTTTGTGAAATTTCGTTTAGTGTAGAAAAATTAAAATTGATGTCATGAATTTAGAAACCGGTTTGTAAATTAGATAAGGGTTAAAATCGTTTGTGCATGCATAGAATGAGCAGAGTAGCTACTTGAGAGCTGAGAGAAATATATTTGACATTCCTGTGTTAAATTCTGATACCCTTAACACATCAATTAGGACAAAGAGATTGCTACCGTAGAACGAAAAAGAGAAATACACTGGTTAATTCTATTAATCCTCGGTTATTTTTGCATTAAACTAATTTTAACATGTAGAAAACCATGTCTTTAGGTCGCTTATGCCATTGGTAATTAGGTTTCATTTTCTTACTTTAATTTCTATCATGCTCGGCGATAAATTTAAACAATTTCTCTCTTTTGTTTAAGGCGCGGAAGCATTTGTCTTTCGTCGGAAATGCCGCTTAACCTCTTTTATTGCTCAAGAGGAAGAAGCAATATGATTAACCAGCCTAATCACTTTGTTCTGTATTCCTCCCCCGAGACTATGCGAGTTGTCTCCCTTTGCTAAGAGAATTTCCTTGATGGAAGCCACATGCCCTCTGTTACTAGGTCTAATTTTCCTGAGGTTGACCCCCACATTCTATTTCACGAATTTGGAGACTGCAAATAAAGAGTAACAGACTCTATATTGGAAATTATTAGATGAAACTGCCGATAAACAAATATTGCGAATTGTTTCTGGTTGTTCTGAGGTAACGTTTGGGAATAGTTGCCATCTATATATGTATCTTGGTTGGGCGATGGACTGACATGAAGATGGGGAAGGGATACTGTAATTATTGTTGCCATTCCGGATCTTTGAGTCTGATTATCAGTCCGTGTTCTTTATTAGAAATGTGTTTTTTTTTCCAATTATAAAAAAAATCATTCTTTGTTATAAACTGATCAGGTAACAATACAAATTAAGTAAAAAGTAAAACAACCACTTTATCTATATTTGAAATTTATAACACGTATGTAAAAATAATATTAATAACAATTCTAAAAAGTCTAATGAAAAATGAATAAAAAAATTCCATTAAAATTTTATGCATGAATTATAATTACAAACGCTTTGTTTTGGAAATACATTATCTTAAACTCTAATTGAATAAAAATTAGTGTAAATGGAAGTTGCAAATAAATTAGTTCCATTTTAATTTTTCATATCCTGAAATAAAAATACATAATACAGTTTTGATGAAATATGACACAAAAATAATTACTTTAAAAATACATTATTTCAAACTGAAAAGCTGGAAACGTCAGTTTTCTTATTAAATCTGACAATATATTCTCTTCTCCTCATAACACGATTCATCTGTAATTGATTGTGCAGCTTGGACGGAAATGAAACATAGATCGACTTTACAGTTAATCATAACATCAACACTTATTGATGAACGGCATAGTGGTGTATATTTACATAAAGCCATATAAAACGGATTTATCCGTTCATTACTGTCGAGATGGGAGAATATCAGCCAATCCCCATTACTTATTAATTATTTCGTTAGCTACTGTTGGTCTCGTCCATTTGGGTAGGAACAGTTTTCACACTTTTATTCGATCTAAGCGTCACACACACGCTGTGTAGCGAGATGAGATCGTGGCATCGTTCAGATGTACGGCTCAACGTGTTCTCTGTGTTGAAATTCACACACACTAGCTCGAAGCCTGATAATAAAAAAATACCATAAAATGGTTCATAAATCCTACTTCCAATGTAAGATACAAATAAAACAAATATCATCCTTCTTCGCAGTTTGTTTTCCTATCTAGTTTCGTGTTAGGGTTCAAACACTGTCTTTTTATCCGTGGAAAGTTAATATCGTGCACAGGAGATGTGCACTTTCTGACCTTTAGTGAATAGTTTCAAAACCAATATGAAAAACAGCATAACAGCTTCGGCAGTGTCTCAACTGTGGCTTTCTAGGTTCAATATTGCGTTTCAGTTTCTACTGTTAAAGAGAGACTGACATTAAGACCTGTTAGTAAATTTAACCTAATGATTTACGCAAACAATACATTTTCCAGATTTAGCAATTTAATAATGTTTGGTTTCAGGATATTGAAGAAAGGTTTGTTTCTGTAGTAAAAATAACAAACCAATCAATATATATACAATGTAAGGGATGAACTCAACAGTTGACCGTTGATAATCAAATACTGAAAAAAGAAAGCAATCATTTGTAGATTTCCTTTATAAATCGATTTTGGACATGGAACCGGATTTTTTTTATGAAAGAAGATATAAGAAGTGTGTTGGAGGTCACCACCGTTTAGAGAATTGTGGGTTATATTTGTAGTGTAATGAAGACAATTGCTCTAGACTTCTGTCTTATCAACTACTGGGTACAAACAAGCGATAGGAATGCTTGAGAAGACTCAATAGAGATAAGGCTTATAGTGGACAGACGATGGCCCATATCTCCGGCAAGCTGGCTGTGCTGAATGCTCAGCTAAGATAATCGTCTCTTTCAGACCAAAGGTTCTAGTAACAGTAAACTGTTAAGAACCTCGAATGTCCCACTACAGAAGACAACCATGTCAATGATAAATATTACAGAAAAAATGTCTGTTGTTAGAAGATAAACGTCTGTGTATACTTAGCAAATTTCTGATATCATTTAATAATGGCACGTGGATGGAATAATTTTGGTTTCTTTATGTATACAATTTTCCGTATATTGTCTGTCCGTTACTGTTGAAATATATTATACTAAAGACACACAGGTGAATAGCACAATTCAATAAAAATTGAAAAATAGACACAGTAGAGTCTTCAGTGAATTAAAATGCATCAAACAGCTGTTTCATCTTTCTCGAATACATCAGTGATGTTGATGGCCTAAATTTTATTTAAATATCATAAAAATTTAGAAACCTACTGTATAGTGTTACTGAACAAAGAGATTAAAAAAGGAAACAATAATGAATTGTTCACAGAATAAATATTTCATTTCAATACTGATTTTGACTGATACTGATTAAGACTAGCTAAATGAAATCGCTTTCAACAGAAGGATTCTTGAAGGCATTTAAGTACATTTTCACTGATTGTCCCTCTGCACCAATATTCCGCATTGCTCTGACTAGCTTTGCCTAGAACTGATGGTTCCGATGCTGACGGTTTTATAGCTCTGACTGTTATGCGACTCGGCCACTGAATGGCCACACTGATGACATAAATTCGAAGGCACGTTGTATATTATGTATCTTTCTTCAAATAAAATAAAACAACAATTTGTTTTTGAATATATTTATATAAATATAGCTACAAAACCTTCTGTCAGCGTTTGTGAGTTTGGTCAAATATCTTGAAATAGTTTTTGGACATGGAATAAAATTGCTAAAACAATAACTTCGATGATACTTGGTTTCTTCTGTCGTGATAGTCGAGCTTTATGCGTTAAGCTTAAACAATACTCAGCCATGCTTTGAAGAAACATCCCTAGAGCTGGTGGTTTTTTACGACTTTGTCTGTTTTGTTTGTTCGGACATAGAATGGCCGTGTATGACGGGCTTGAAGGCGCAGTATGGTGTCTGCCACGCACTGAGCTGCATCCTATGATAAGGCTATGTAAAGTGCTGTAGATAAATAATTAATTTGTCTTTATGTAGGACTAACAGACCAATTTCTAAGCGTAGACAAAAGAGTGAAAACTGGGATGACTCAGAACAGACCACCATTACAGCGTAGGAGTCGAATAAAGATCACTTGTTAAAAGCACATTATTGATTTCTTATATTTATGTAAGTTTTGTTTGAATGGCATATCTTTTATATCCCACATCATGACTGTGGTATTTTTTGGCAAGCTTCATCTTGGTCTTATTGGCGCTTGTGATATATAGAATTCTAAGGAACCAAATCTGTGTTGAATCATTGTTTGTCGAAGCAAAAATTTCATTAAAAAGACCACGTCTACAGAAGATACAAATCGGGAAGCATAAATAAAGATCGCTACATTTCGATTATATGTACAATTAAAAAAACTCATATAGGTAGGAAAGGGTATAACGAGTTTAACCCTCTCTATCATGTATGGCCGCGGGTTGTGTAGATATACATTAAAAACAAATCTTTTTGTAACAAAATTAAAACAACATAACTATTTTTCTTGTTTATATCTTAGAAGAAGAACAAAGATTAAAACTCTAAAAAAAAACTGTTTAGCTTGGTGCATGTAATTTATGACGGCAATAAACACTTCGCAGTGAACTGTAATTAAGGGTTTCGTGGTTTCTAGGAAATTGCTAGATATACATACCCTTTATCTAATCTTTGTGTTTATAGAAGTGTGTACTTGAAACAAAACGAAAACAGAGACAGTCTTTTGTAAGGAAAAGGGCAAATTTATCTACAGAAAAAGTCTTAATTTAATGTAGAAGAGTTGTAAATGGGCTTGTCGCAACTTAGTGCACTGCAGGTACTTGTGCTGATTTCACAGCAGTTTACATGACGTCATAATTAACGTGATCAAAAAGCACATTAAACGCTCAAAATTATGCATTAATCTATAAAATATTTTGATTAAAACATACCTCAGAATAAATAAGATGTTCGGTCCTACGGCTATTAAACACGAACGTTGCTTTCCGGATAAGATAATTATATGCAGTTTTATGACAAATATAAATACTAGATATTGTTGAAATGAGTCGGAATTAATTAATGAATGAACACATTAAAGGGATGTTATAAAAATAACAGTAATAAAACCATGTATAAAATTCACTCCAGAAACAAAATTTTATAAACATTTAGAATTGTATGACAAAATTTCTCAATCACATGGAACAGAAAATATTTTGTTAGTGTTGATAAATCAAACAAATACAAAAATGAATAAATAAACAAATAGATGATATATATAAAAATAGATCAACATTTTCTTGCAATTGTTTAAGTACTAACATAAATTTTTTTCTCTTCTTCATATTTCAACGGATTTGTTTAATCTTTCAGGTTTGTCGTATAAGATGTACCAACATGGCCACCATGAAAACGGTTTAAGTCCTGAAAAACGTAAGCAGCGACGGATACGAACCACGTTCACCAGCGCACAACTCAAAGAACTAGAAAGAGCCTTCGCAGAGACACATTACCCAGATATCTATACCCGTGAGGAAATAGCGATGAAAACGGATTTAACAGAAGCACGAGTACAGGTAAATGCCTTCTGTTGTCATTGACAAACTCGTAAATTTCAACATCTTTATATTTTATTGGATTCTCCACAGTTCGGCAAATATTTTTGGATACGATTTCACGTCCTTTATATATAAACATGGCTTGGCTTCAATGAGATTAAGCTTGATTCCTACATATTGCATGATAGTTTTGTGATACCATATGTCAAGTGATGTATAACAGCAATTATGAATATCCTAATCATACAACATATACAAATAAACTGGAATGAAGGGGGTATGAATTAATTTCTTACATGAAAATTGATGCATTTGAATCTTTAAACTCTTAATCAAAATACACTTAATTAAAAAGGTTAAAATTCTATATAACATCTTTACCGAAAAAGAGATGTTCTGAAGAAAACATGATCGAGTCTTATAATAGTCTATCGATAAATCTAGATTTAATTTAACATGTTAATGTTATAATGCGTAGTTATTTTCAGTTTCTTATGCCTATATTATACTCTTCTGTTGTACATTTAGGAAACAATGAAAAATATTCCTAATGCTGCATGTTATAACTGCATAAAAGGATATTTTTAAATGCATTGTACCTATGTATACAGATATAGAATTCTTGCTTATAAAAATATCTCTGTTACAAAATCAAGGTGACAAGGAAACAGGTTTTCAAAATAAATACCAGGTTTTTTGATGAATTACAATAGGGCTATAACACCTCCCAACCTAGATTTTGATATTTTAACGATCACTTTGGCTTTCCTCTCTCAAGGTTGAACATTTAGGCCTTTAGCATCAGTTATTGAGTCCTAGAAAGATGAAACCGTATGCAGTTTACTTTATTATTTGACGCTACTGTATCTTTTGTAAATTTGTATTAAAAAACACTTTGAACTTGTTTGTCTTTTGTACAAAATCTAGATATTGAGAAATCGGAATTAATTGGTCTAAATCAGAACGCACCTACCATTCTTCAGAAACAGCTGGTCTTATTGCCTTTTATCTGAGCAATAATTTGACCTCTTTTAGCCATTTCAATTTAAAATGATGGTTTTCATATAGGCTTTACGACATAGATTTAATCTGATGTGCACAATATATTGATGTTTTGTATACAATATATATTTCTAAAATTCAACGCAGAAAACCAATCAGATATTAACATTTATCCCAATGTATTAACAAATGTATTATATGCGATCATATGTATATTGAAATTGTTTATCATCAAATACAACAGTTTAATATTTTGATATCTACTTTCAGAATTTAATACTTAGTACGATAAATAATTTATATTACGGAAACATTGACACTTAGCATCGGTCTACCGCATTCTATACACATCCTTAACGTAGATGACTTAACATTTCCATAGCCATTCAAGAGGTAAATGTCGTGGGATCGCGTGAATTTTCTCCTTCGCTAATTTCTAATCATTTAAATTTAGATTTAAAATTTTAACATATAAAATCAAACAGGAACACGGGAAATTTGGCGTATCTGAAAAGATTTGAATGTCTGGCCAATTTCCATGGAGTCAATCGTCCTAGCCATTATCTATACATTAGGGTTGGATGGTACAGAAAATTACGACAAATTTTCTAAAAAATAGAAGAAAGATAGTAGATTTAACAACATAACTGGCTGAAAACTAATACCTGGAAATACGCTTCGCAGATCCAAGAGTCCTTCTTTTATATAAACATTACATGTATACTGTATTTTTTCCAAAAGATTGTTTGAAATCGCTATTGCATCAATACCTCTAGACTGTTATCTACATCATAACGAAACATTTAACAGTTAGAAAGACCATTTATAGATCTAACGCTTACATCTAGCCTCCTGTAGGTAACTGACAAACAATTGTTGTAACTCCTTTCCCAGAACGGATGTGCAACACCCGTTCAATTGCTTTAGAATATTTATTTAGTTTAAATCCTCTGAACTTCTATTGATATTTTCAACTAGACGATGTATTACCAGATCCTTGTCTACCTGAGATCGCTTGAGCTATCGATAAATCAAGAAAAAGATGGGCTAATGATGACATCACTTCGTATGCTTTTGATCTCAGCGACAATTATCTTTCAACATCTTGGATCCTTTGAATTTAATTACTTTCCTCAATAATTAAGAGTATGTATATGTAGACATCTCGTCGTTAGCGTCTGTTGATTTTCCAGTAGTAACCTGCTTTATTATATTGTGTATTTTTAATATTATCATTATGTCTGTTAAAGGTATAACATTAATGAAGGTAATTTATGTTTTCTCTCGTTTTATCGGGCAATCAAGTTATTTGGACCACAACACGGTATGAACGTACTCTTTATTAGTTGTTCTAAATCTAGTGAAATGACCACTTTTATATAGTCGATAATTTTACAAAACGTGGGTCTTTAAACGTGTAGTATGAAATAAAATGATACGTGGTGAAAATCAAATGAATATTGTACATGTTTCTTCCTGAAATACAGTAGCAAGTCCGTGTAATATATGTCACTGTAAATGTAATCTGATAAAAGATCTATAATACGTACACGCCCTATCACGATAGTGTCTACACCTTCTTCAATTTGTTGTAGGAAAGTCTTTCTCCATAAAAGTAAACTTACCTATGTAAATATGTACTGGTTCTTTCTGGGCCACGTTAAAGTAGGAAATAAACAACGACATGTATGTACATATAAATTAAAAACGACATGTATGTATATACAAATTAAAAACGATATGTATGTACAAACAAATTAGCAACGGCATGTATGTACATACAAATTAACAACGACATGTGATTCGGTGCTATTAAATATCAGAAATGCCTCAATTAGAGATGAGATAACTGAACACATTAAACAATCAATCATATACTGTGAGTGTTATATTGTGAGAAAAATAAAGACACTATAAATACATAATTCTTGATTTAAATCAATTGCATTGACATTTATATGTACCTTCCAATTTCATATCCATCCCACTGGGTAAATGCAAACAGGTGGAAAGTGATTTTCAAATCTTACTTCTTTTAACTGAAGATAATTGTATAAAATTGTATGGTATTGTAAATCTATTTTTCAAGGCTAACCTCCTCAGATTGATACAGGAATGATAACCAAGCATGATTATCAAAGTATTATTTAAGCAATTTCATGTCAAATTTGATAACCATAAGTGAAAGTGTGATTACAGTCGTTGAAATATTAATACAATATTACATGTCATAAATATCATTGATATATTCATAATAAATAAACACAAAAGCGTTATTCATAAACTCAGGACATCGAACACCCATTTCTAGACCACACGTAAGAAAACACCATTTCATATTTATAGTATAGGAGCATCAATCAAAGTTTTGATATAAACATTTTTAATATTCAACTTAAGTTGTCTCCTCTTTTGGTAAACACTATATCCAATGTAAACAATATTTCTAGATTTTTGAAGTTTTAATATCGTATTACATCATAGCTTTGACAGTTTTAAAGGTACCAAGTGTCATAAAACAATTACCATATCAAAGTTTTTGTTAATCTTCGAACCATGGATGTTTTGCATTGTCATGTTTAATTAAGAAATTCCACCTCTGACGGTAAAGTCACCAACTGACAGTTTGCTTAAATCTATAAGAGTAAAACACAAATGGTTATATTTTGCTCTATATTCTTCTATTTCGATTTCTATTAACGGTTTTTATCACTCCTCGGTAGTATTTTATAACAGTTCCTTGCAAATGAAAATAATTCTTTTATGTTGTTCAGGTATGGTTCCAAAACCGAAGAGCTAAGTTTCGCAAGGTTGAGAGGGCAAAGCAACAGCAACAACAGCAACAACAACCGACAACTGTGAAGCAAGAGCCGGGTAATACAAGCAGCAACAACAACAACTCCAGCACAACAAACAACAACAACACCTCTTCCAACAGCTCCAAAGACAAGCAGAAACAATCCGAGGAGAGCTCAAGTAAGGGACATAACTTACTACTATATTGATGATGAGGTTTTACGCTTTCACTCATAAATTATACTAAAAGAAAATCTGACTCGATCATCAGTACCATGGGAAAGTCCTTTCAGCAAACATTGTACGATATATTATTTTCATTCTCTGTTCAGGATATATGTCATGCATTACTAAACTTAAACCACAATCAACTGCATGTTACTAAGGGTATACTTGAATAATCTGTAAACAAAACAGTTTTTGGGCTGATTTATATTTATCATCTAACTAGGTCTTTTAACGATGCATTCTTATATATACACTATTCCTATCTTTTAAGAAATATAATATATTTCACATAATTTTACTTCAGACAAAAGTCAAAACGAGACCTCAAAATGGACAAGTGGAATTACTGTAGGGAAAGGCACATCGGGAATGGCCAGTAATCCATCCCTTCCGGGACCCTACTCCAGTGTGCTGACAAATCGCAGTGCTGATTACCAAACGTCACCATCCTTAGACAAAAGTGTTTCATTGGCTGGCGGAATATTTTGAGTCAATGTTGTTCATTGATTCATATTGATAATGGAAGGGCAACGTGAGATTGATAGACTGATGGACGTTATAAATATCAAATGGATTCTATCAGTTTGGGACCTGGATGCTGATTTCTAGCATATCCTAACCAGTGAATAACGATAAGAGAAATTCTCCCTTACAGAAGGGAAAACACTAACACTGGATAAAGTGAAAACGTGTCCCTATAAAATCTCACTGGTCTGGACAACCCAAGTGTAGGACTGTAGACCCATTGATCTATCACAATATCGTGGTGTTGTCATGAAACATTTTCTTTAATTTGAAACGTGTTTGATCCCTGTGTGAGACCAATCTGGTATAGATTAGATGAAGAATGAAGACATTTCATAATCCTAATTAATCAGGAACATTATTTCTCTTACGTCTATCCCGAAGAAGAGTTAGATGTTATGGTATGTATGTGCGTATATCTCACACACATTGCCTACATGAAAAGTTGTTCATAGCTTGATAATGCATCGAATGATACCAAAAACCATAATCACGCCGTGAATACAAATATCAAACTAGATATTTCACCGATTATATTTTCCACTTGACCTTATTGGGTCGTTCTGTGTAATATTTGATCATATAGATAATGGCATGTTCCTATTCGTAATGTTACGGGTTCGCAGAGTCGTAATTTGATGTTTTCATTAAAGGGACCAAGTTTTGTATTTCCCTGCTGTGAGATTTACTCATGTCTCTCAATGTCATCTAGCAAAGGAAAACAATCTTATCGAGTCAGTAACACCTTATTGCACAACGTAATTTTACTTACTGTGTATTTTCACATTATTTCGATTTTAAATATACAGAATATTGAAAGTTGTCACATGCACAATAAACATGGAGAGCAGCTTCAACAAATATCTATATCTTTATACAAAGACATAACCCAAGTAATAACTGAATTTAATCATTAGTAGTCTCATAAAATATGGAATCTCAAAACGGTTTGAGAGTAACTAATGATGCACAAATTCATTATACAGACAGACTGGAATTCGGACGATGTAAAACCAATTAATATCACCAAAAATACTTTGTTGAAGATAAATTTCATAAGCAAAGCAATCAAAGAAACGATGACAAATTTGGAATATCATCAGCCAGTAAAGAATAGAGAATATTAAGTTATACACACTTATGATCTTGATACTTCAAACGAACAAATGAACTATTTGCTGGTTTATTTAGAGTGAAAAGGCCTTCTTGAATATCTAGAATCACGGATATTCTCGACATAGAATATAATAGGCTTGATTGGTTGAAATAGATATGACGTATGTACATCACATGTCATTTTCATAATTTGTCTGTAGATGATACTTCTCCCGATTTTATATTTCATTTTGTAATTTAGTTGTTCATACGTATTTGTAATTGAAATTGTAATTGATTTATTTTATACTTATGTTGGAAAAATTGTATGTATATTATTGACATCTGATTTACATTATAAACAGTATTATTTATCACTAATTGCTTCTAGTTGTTTACTGAAGTTTAATATCTACTATTGTGCCAAGAATCGGAGATATTTACGTCAATATCGAAGCATTATGTAAATATCAGCATTACAACCTTACAGTATTATATTTGAAAACAGTATTAATTTATGTGACTTTTTATTTCACACCGTATTATTTTTTGTATAAAGATATGTCTCCGTTTTTAAACTGGATTATGTGCAGAATTAATTTTGCACTACCCTGGATAATGACACTAATTACATGTTTATGCGTCAACCTTGTTAAGATAACTATTCCCATGTAACAATAAACTATTATAAGATTCATTTAGAGCAACAGAACCACAGATTTCACTGAATATCGAATGTCCATTAACTGATTAGACAACAACAGGGCTGGCTTCTTCACGAAACAGTCCAATACCAGAAACCTTCCATCTGATTTTAGTACTATATCACGACATGCTTATTTCAAACTCATCATATAAAAAAATAATGTCGCACAGTCGAAAAGACGGACCATTAGCTGAGAACTGTTATTGCGACAAAAGCTATCAATGCTAACAGATAATAACCGTTTGACAATTACGTCATATATATATTTAGATCATATATACAACACCTTAGAAAATTTGAAATAACAAATGACATCAGATAGGGGACAAACATTGTTACTTGAATGTCTCTATTTTAATTATTGGTTAACGTGACACACTTAATGAGACCTATTATCATCTTTATTAACAATTTTCCCCAGATTGTCATTTCAGTAACAAATTATTTCATTTTTTCTAATTCTATGGTGCTAAATATTGTGTATTTCTTGATATAAGGGATCATTGGTTTGCGTAGAATCGATAGAAATATTCTTTCCTTTTGTTCATAGCTAACTTGTATATGTCGACAAGTTCTTTCTAAATCATGAACACGATTTAAGATATTCCGAACGTCTAAATAGATGAAATGACGACTTTTAAAACTTCTGATTGCATTGGTTATATAATAACAATTTGCACGCGGGGACTAATTTCCTAGTATGAATATTTCATAGTTCATTTTGACTATGTGTCGAGTGGGTAATCTGATGTGATTGTTTTAGCAATTTCAATCTAAATATCAGAAAGGTTACACGGCAAATTAACCAAATTTTGATGGGTTATACAATCTAGAAGTTAAATATTATTAATCTTTATACAAGGTTCTTAGATCGATGTATGTGAGATTTAGTTTTCAAAACTTTAATCTGTCTATAAATTGCATATTAATGACACCTGTTTTTCTGTTAAAACAATGCCAATGGGATAGAGGAAATGAGACCATTTTTTGTTACTTTTGTATGCCCTTGAACATAGAATTTAGACTATTTATCATCTATTACCAGTTTTTATAGTGCAATAAGGCTTTGGAAATGGAGCAGAGCGCAATGGAAGGGATAGGATTTGGTATTTGAGAGATAGAAGTCGACGAGTAGCATTATCAGGTCTGTTATTTAAAGCACTCCTTGAAGAAACCAAAAACAAAAATAAACTCAGCATGCCTGTAATGATCCCAAAAAGCATTCATAATCTTCAGTTGGCGTTTTGTCAATATTTTCCCAGCTCTTCAGTGTTAGAGGTCATACATATGTGTGTATATATATAGATCTCAAATAGAGTCTGGAAAAAACACATTCTAGCAGTTAAAAAACTTGTCTCTAAATTTCTGTCTCTGTGTAAGTTAAAATTTCTTTAGCTGGCAGATACACTAATTCTGCTGTGGAAATATATGTCTTGAGTCTAAAGACTGCTCCGTTTAATCCTTCTTACACCCGGTCGGCAATTCAAATGTTTCCGTCGTTGTTTTAGGGTGTTAAAGAGCTCACGCAGTTGAGTTTTTTTTCTAGAGATAAACGAGGTTGGTTCAGGTAGCAATAGTCTGGAGAAGACGTGAACAAACTAAGACCTGTTATACGCAAAACATCCATTTTGTTTCGTCTGGTTGTTCTGGAATTACTGCCATTTTTGAGTGTCTAGAAAATTTGTTTTCGTGTCAGTTAGCACATTTTACGATTTAGTGAGGGTTAAAAGGGTTATCTCTGATAGGATGGAGGATATACTGAATTGTTAAAATGGGAATATATGTTTTCTTTCGGTTTCGATAGTGTGGTGAAATATAATTGTTTTTGATTACAGTAAATTGTTTTATGTTTTGTATACACTATTTCATGAACTTGATGAATAGTTATAAAGATGAAACGGTATAAATCAAACAGATAAATGTCAAAATCTTTAGTACCCAATTCCTTTTTCATGAATAAAGAATTATATTTATGTCCCCGACAAAATAAAGTGATCAGTTCAGTATATTACTTCCCCTCTAAGGACACCAGGGTGTGGTTTTATCCGATGGTTTAATTAGAGGTCGTTAAACTCGTCACTTACTGAAATTTGGTTTTATCAATTCTAAAGCATACAGCGATTTATACCACAAAAACCAACTTACAAGCATGGATTTGTTTTATCTAGTTGTTATTTGATATTCATCTGTGTTTGAAAAAAAAGCACGTGTTCTCTGTAATGGCGGCAACGTTTCATTGTTTAAAACAACATACACCGCCTCCAACATACAGATAAACTGATTAAACTAGAAATAAAGTTTAGATAAACAAATGAATGGACAGCTGTTGTAATTGATTTAAATCATAATGAAAATTGGGATATTGGATAAGATAGTCCCAGTTCATTGATAACCTGAGGGATATATCGAGCTGTGTAAATCATCATCTATTACGTGAGAGTTGGACCAATTCTTCCCAAATCTAAACTCATAAATGTATAAGAATATGTTGTATAAAATATTGATGAAATATGATGTTATATGTCATAAATGAATAAATATTGGTAAAATCAAAATGTTTTATATAGTTATTTTTATCTTTTCTCCTTGAACGTTCTGGAAAGTACCTACAGAATTAAGCCAACATGCCACCATGGTATGTATTATTGATACAGTTCATTGCTTGACAGCATCAACGTGCAGAATGTTGATTCAGTACATAGGAGATAGTGGTACACTTGAGGTCACCGTACAGCAATTTGACCGTGTTGTTAACGTATACATGGCGTATTGTCAACACAAAAGGTCAAAAGGCCATTCACCTTAGTGTCAACATATTACAAACACACCAGCGAGTCAGCCTATAAATGTAACGACGAAATATGATGTTGTAAATGTACAAGCTATCATGCTAGTTTAAAAGCACACAAGGACAAATCATTATACAGAGCTAACATAGAATGACATAGCATATCACAGCGTCTGCAAATGAAACAACATAATCGATACCCTAAGTTATCATGGAGACAAGTATTAGAAGGTTATTGTTTGACCCAGGAAATACAAATGTGATATCCTGAATGGTGTCATGAACCACTTGACATCTGTTGAGATTATTTTCGCTAGAACATAGTTTCATTAATATGATTATGATACTTTATAGAATAAATAACAATTTACATTA